CTCTCTCTCTCTCTTAAATACTTTTATATTTTTGTTATTTCCTATTTAAAAAACTTTTTCTTGTTGTTATAGTGAACTACATTTTTAAGCATGGGTATTATTAGAAACATGCCATACTGTGTACTTGTGTTGAGTACATTATACGGAAATTTTGCATATAATTATGTTAAATATTAATGATTTTGCGTTAAAAATAAATACAATATTTAAAATATTATATTTTATAGTTTAGTAAATATTGTTTTGCAGTAAATATGAATTTAAAACATTTTTATTAAATTAAAAAGTAATTGTGTTAAAAAATATCAATTTACAATAAAATTAATTATTAATTATATAGTTATAATTTAAAACACATGTTCATTTAATATAATTGCTATAAAACTTGAATTTTAATTATAATTATCCATTTATATTGTTAATAAATATTTTATTATTTTTCTTTAAATAAACACCAAATTAAAAATATAATTCAAGGATTTGTTGCAGTATCACGGATTGGTTTGTAATATAATAAAATTATTGGTTTGATTAAAAATTGTTATTTTTGTTTAAAACTTTAAATTGTGATATATTAATTAATTTAATTTATCGCTAGGCATTAATTTAATTTATCCTTATAAAATGTGCTATTTAATTTTTAATTAGAAATTGTTTTGTGGTGTAAATGCGAATAATACTAATTACAGGTAATCCAGATCTTGTAAGTTGGATGTTATAAAACTAAATTTTAATTTAGTTACAATATTGAGATATAATAATGTAAATTATGTTTCAAAACAATTAATTTATTTGCATCAGCAATTGTAATTAGCACTTATATTATTTTAAAAGTTATAAAGCAATTTTAATACTTTTAATTACTATTTAACAAAATATATTTTTGTAAAATGTATTAAATGCAAAATTAGAGCCAACGTTAATGAGCTTAAATAAATGCTTAATTTGAACTTATCATATTGTTTTATATTTAATTATTTATGAATATTATTTTATATATTACATACTGTATAACGTAAAAATTGTTTAACCCAATGCTTAAAATAAACATAAACATTTGGTTGGTAAAATATATTAACAATATTGTAAAAATCACATTCATCCTTCAATTTATCATATTTAAATAACAAATATTTCACCATAATTGTCACAATCATGTTTAGTCATATAAATTTTTAGTACAGAACATGTGCACAACTATTGCATATAAAATTGCAAAAATTACAAATACAAAACATCGATAAATATTTGTAGCATAAGTGTACTGTAGATAATATATAATATTTTTTAAAATAAGTGTGTTATTTAATATAGAGTTTAGTAGTTTTTATAATTTTAATTATAATGTTTAAATAAATCATTAGTATGGGGGCGACCGAGGCAAAATATCCAACAATTAATAACCAATTGACTAGAAAAAATGTGATTAACCATGGCAGTTTTGGAACCGTTTATCGAGTGACAGATAATACGTTCGGTAATACAACAAAATTTGCTGTTAAAGTGGTCAAGGTGAAAGGTATAAAATATTATTAATATTTCCAAAAATTAATTTTTCTACAAAATTCATAAATATTTTTAATGTTGTCAATATATTGCTATGCAACATGTTCATTTTATTGATAACAAACACTTGATTAGATTGTTCTGTATAATTAAATAACTTGCATGTAGGTAAAGAGAAAAATAAATGGATTAAATCGATAAGAGAAGTGGACATAATGAAAAGCATGTATCATAAAAACGTATGCCAGTACTTTGACTCGTGGTCAACCAGTAATCGCATTTACATCAAGATGCAATTATGTCACTGCACTCTTGACGATCTATTGCTAACCAAACACCAAGTTTTTAATCAAAACAATTTAAAACTTGCTGAAAATACGACCAAGTTTTACGTGTCTCTCCGTATGTTTACCGACATATTATTGGGTGTCCAGTATTTGCAAGCGCACCGACCGGTGCCTATTGTGCACCGGGATCTCAAGCCTCAAAATATACTGTTGGCAATTGACGGGCCAACACAGGCCAGTGATGGCACTCGTTTAGTGCTAGGTGATTTTGGTCTGGCTAAATTATATCAGATTAATTGTAAAAGCGATAGCTGTCAAGCAGAGTTTGTGTATAAAACCCCGGGCATTTGTGCCGGATCACCCTATCATCACCCAACTATATCATCGGACATGTATTCTTTAGCAATGATGGCAAAAGAGATATTTGATTATGACTTGTAAGTAATTATGGACTCTCTCTCCCCTCTCTCTCTCTCTCTCTCTCTCTCTCACTAATAAATGTACCTTGATGATTTCAGCTCAATTCAACCGCAATCAAAATCATTGGCAATTATATACAATATTATTGAGAAATCAACGGTAGATAACATTTACAATAGGCTAACAGTTGGACAAGTATTTGATTTAATGTCAAGCATAGAGCCTATGAATAATAACTTTAAACCACAAGATCTCGATATACAAATACTTAAAAAGTCACAAAATATACATTTTTACAATTATTTTAAACTAGATTTTGATTTGTAATTTTTAATATAATTTTATTTATAATTCAAAATATATTTTTTTAAAATAAATGAATTAACATTTTAAAATAGCATCGATTTATTATTTAATTATTGATTCTATAAACCACATTATTCATACTGAATTGTGGTTAAAAAAATTTTATGAACATAAATAACAAACGGTTTATAATTTTGTATATTTTAAAAATAAATTATAAAAAGGTATTAACATTTTAAAATATTAAACATCCATTTGTATAATAATTTTGCATGATAAACATTGATCTAATATTACAAAATAATAATTTTAATTTACTAACAATTTTGTTATACTCATTATTTGTTGTAAAAATTAATTAAACAAAATTAAACATGTAGATATTATTTTTCAAATAATTCATGTTTTAACAAAGATAATTATAACGGAAATAACAATTTATAACAGATATATAAATACAACCATATTTAGATGTAATTATATAACTTGATTACAAGTTAGTATTGAAATTACTAATTACTTAATTTGTATTGTACCTGTACTGTACAGTATATGTGTGACAATAATATATCACAAAGTGATAACAGTCTGGCATTTCATTCACAATACATTTACTGAAAAATGTGTTGTTGTTATAAATAGTGGCAAAGAGTTATTGTTATTAAAACAAAACACAAACAGTTTAGGAATATTTTGTCAGTCGGACAATGAGTTCCAGTAGTAATACCGATGGCAACGCTACCCAAGAGTTGGACTCTGAAGAAATGGATCCACAAGTATTGCCACAATTAATCGGGAAAAAACCAATTGGAAAAGGTAGATTTGGTGAAGTGTATAAGGTGGATATAAAGGGTGCACCAAATCCATATGCCGTTAAAGTGATTACAAAGGTACTTAATAATGTTTAATATGTGTTTATTTAATTTAACTAATTTATCATTATTAATGTTTGATGTAGGTGGTGAAGGGAGAAGAGGACAGGGATGCTAAAGGTGTGTAAAATATATAAAATATTTGCATGGTAATGTATTATTTAAATTATGTAGTATGTTTATGCTTCTAACAATAGATATTGAGTCATATTTTAATTAATTATGTAGGTTATAGAATCTAACTTATTTAATAAGTTAAATCTATTAAACGTGATAAATTATTAATTAAATCATTAGAAAGGGAGATGGTCTTTAAAAACGAGTACCGGAGCTTAGGATTAATGACCAAATTGTCTCATCAACACGTGGTGCCCATCATTAAGACATTGTGCACAAATGAACCTGATACGGTTTATATCCAAATGCAATTTTGCGCTTGTAATTTGCGCGAGTTAATAAATACAAAAAACAGCATGTTTGGCCGACCCGATCTTAGTGAGTCCAAAAATAACTATCCCTATACGGAGCCCAATGACCTGGAATATTTTATTAGCCTGTGTTGGCTGCGTGAAATTACCCTGGGCTTACAGTATCTACACTCAAAATCAATAATTCACCGCGATGTAAAACCCGAAAATATTGTGATGGGCACCCTAGGTGATGTAGGTGATACACGGTGGGTGTTGAAGTTGGGTGATTTTGGTTTAGCAAAATTGTACCAAGCGTCCAGAAACAATACTAACGATGTGGGTACACCTAAGTATATGGCACCCGAGTTGGCCATGGCCAGGTATACACTCAAAGCTGATTTGTACAGCGTGGGAATTGTCATGCCCGAGTTGTTTAACTACCGCTCGTAAGTCTTTCTCTCTCTCTCTCTCTCTCTCTCTCTCACTAATAAATGTACCTTGATGATTTCAGCTCAATTCAACCGCAATCAAAATCATTGGCAATTATATACAATATTA